CGTAACAATGAATTAAAATTTCATTTTTCAAGCCATTCTCCAACTCTTCTACAATGCCCTACCAGGCATACTCAGCGAATATGAACTAAATCTAAGCCTTGCATAACAGCAGAACTACTCGCGCGCCAACCTTGCTTGAATCATCATATTCAATTCTAGCTCCACCGAAGTCACTGAACCTGTTCGAATCACCACAAGAAACTCGATCACAACCAACTCTACCTAAGTTAAAATTTATCAAACCATAAGCCACAACTGCTTCCACAATGACCATCGGACCATCCAAAACATATAACTAAGACTTTCTCCACTTCTATAAAACAACCCTGACACCCTTACTAACTTTCAGAACTCCACCTTCATCGGTATACATGTACCCTTTTGAATCAAGAGTACTCGAAGAAATAATATTTATATTTAAATCTGGAACATGTCTCACTAAACCAAGTGTTATGATCATCCCATCAAACATCTTGATTTTGACCTTACTAATACCAGCAATTTTATAAGGCTCATTGTTTTCCATTACCATGGAACCCCTTATAATTGTTTCATATGAAGAAAACCAATCTCAATTAGAACACATTTGAAAAGTGTAAGCCATATCAAAAATCCAATTCTCATCGAGTTTGAATCACCTAATAGTAATCACCAAGAGATGTTCATCGCTTTAGTCTTCTTCTGCAAGATTGTCATCACTGAAATTTTCTGGTTGTCCCTTTTGATCTGTAGTAGCAAACTTACTCTCATTATGGATGACAAGGGGGACAGGTCGGAGTCGGGGCAACCTCCCTCGCCCCACCGTGTAATTTCCAACCATGTTACACGTTTAAGGCATGGCCATTGCCCCATTTACTACCCATTTAATTTTTTTTAGTTTTTTCATAATTCATTTTATTGCTCCCATTCATTAAAGTGAGACAATAATATATTTGTTAAATTTTTTGATTGATTTATTTATTTTTAAAAGTTAAATTATTTAAATATAATTGGTAAACTAAGGTTATTATTGTTTGTCATATTCTTAATTTAGACCTTCTATTAAAACTAATGAAATTTATAGGAGTTTTCCATTTAAAGTATGGAATTCTTTAAAAAAAAAAAAAGTTAAACGGGGCGGGCCCTTATTACCCCTACCCGCCTCGGGACAAAGTCCCGTCCCATTCCTTATCCGAATGCCCGATTAAAAGGGTAATCCCCATCTCAAATGGGATGGGGCCGTGGGCATTCAGTTTAACGAATTTTTTTGTCATTTGTAATTCTTGTTTCGCTACTTATAGCAATTCTTCTTCATGTGTCCTTTATTGTTACAATACCAATAGAATTTATCACCGTGCTATCCTTGACTCTACCCCTTCCATGACCATCTGTCTTCTTCTCACGAATAACAAGATCCTTTATATAGGCCTTGGATCTGACAATAACATGTTTCATTTTCTTCTTAGAATAAAGCGTATCATATACCTCTTAATAGTGAGAGCATCTGAATTATGGAAAATAGTATCATACAACCCAGCAACACTTTTCTCATTTACCACTTCCTAAAGAATTTGATTAGAAAGATGAAGATACATTTGTGATAGGGCTTTTTCGATCCATGTGTTGCTTCTCCTTCGCAATCATTATTGTGGGCATTCTATTTACCCTAATAAAGAATCATCCAAGTTCAATTGAGCAAGAATTGCTTGTATCTCTATCTGCTACAAAGAAATCTACTAATGAGATCTACAAGTAGAATCTCAAACTTAATAGTTACCATCCTTGAAACAATTGACCTTGTTAAAACCTTGCATTAATAACGAATTTGGACCTGCCAAAAAATCTACCAAAAGTCTTAGCTCAAGAACCAATTATTGAGAATCAATTCAAATAATTAACAAATAGAAAATAAGCGCAATATGAAAAATAAAGGATCACACAAGAACACCCAATTATTGAGAATCAAGTCAAATAATTAACAAATAGAAAATAAGCGCAATATGAAAAATAAAGGATCACACAAGAACACAAGATTTATGCTAAAGAAGAGGAGAATTTCAATATACTAAGAAACTAAATTTGTGTTTAGAAGATTTGATACTCTCAATCTAAATATAAACAATTTTCTAAAGTTTTTAATGTATACAACAATGATCTAATTGTTATGTTGAGTCTATAAAGAGCCTACACCTCGTGGAGTATTTATCATAGCTCAATTTTGGAGTTCTGGATAAATTAGAATACAAGAATCGAGATAAAAATCCAATTCTTCTCGAACAGGTGACGCCTAGGCTCCCATCCTCTGTTCCTCTTTCTCACAACTGGCCTGTAGCAAACATAGTGCTTCCAAAACACTTTTTCATCCATCCCAAAATCATTTTCCCAATCAGACTCCCAATTCATGATGAAATTTGATCCCTTACCAATTCGTACTTCCAAACTAAAATTATTTAGGCTTCCTCTATGGATCAAACTTCCAAATCATATGGAATTTGAGTCATAACCTAACACTTTTTAAGTCATTTGATATTAAAAAAGTCGATAACTTTTGAAGAATTCTATAAAAGTCTCTAAAATATTAACTTTCAAGAAGAAAGTGGAAAAATAAAATTTCAATTATTATTATTATTTTCTTCTATTGTTTATATTTTTTTTATCGCTTTTCTCTTTTTTGATTGTTTCTCTCAATATTCTATTCAAATAATTCTTATAACAAATTATTCCTTATATTATTCATTTCCTTATGTGAAAGATCAATTTGTAATTAAATTATATATATATATATATATATATATATAGCCCTTATTTGATGAGGGTTAAAATTAGATTTTTAGTAGATTTTGATAAAAGTTGATAAAATGTGTTGATGAAAAGTTGTGGATTTCATAAAATATGTGGTTGAAATTAATTGTTGATTTAAATGTGAGAACTTTTCACTACATCAAAGTGAATTATATTTTTAAATCAAAGTTTTCAAAAGTCTTATGAAATTTATAAAAGTTTTATACAAAAATCGCATGCTTTCATTAACTCCATACAAAGTTATAAATGTTTTGGAATTTACCAAAAGTCTATCTCTTAAAAAAGTCTATAAAAATCTTCAAAAATCCTGATTGAATACAGCATCTCTAAATTTGGAGAACCAAAATCATTCTCTATAATTAAATTTATTCAAAATATTTCAATTTTCAATACTCCATATTTTGATTCAACTAAATAGTATATATCATAGAAAATTGAGGAAAATAATATAATAAGTTACGGTCCGTTTGATTGCAAAGATGGAATTGAATTGAAGTGAAAACGAATTCTAGGGAATTGAATTGCCTAGAAATTGTTTTCCTATTAATTGTAAATTATTGTGTTTGATTGGTATAATTTTTCACGTGAAAAATGTTAAAATAAAAGTATTTTTTGATATTCGTTTGACTTTATTTTACATAAAAATTGTCAATTAAAGGGATATATTTTATTGATATTGGGAATGAAATTTGTTTCCATTGCTAACAACCAAAAAAAAAAAATCTATCTTTTGGTACTCGTTTGGCTTTGTTTTTTTATGAAAATTACCTATTAAAGTGAAATTTTTTTACAATAATTCTTAAAATTTGTTTCCATTGCCAACAAAAAAAAAAAAAAAAAAACAGTAGGGTGGAAAACCAAGAAAATACAATTTCCCAAGACAAGCAAGAAAATCGAATTCCATGGAAAATAAAACGTATCAAACACACAAAATTGGAAAAAGGTAGAATTCAAATTCCATTTTCCATGGAATTCGAACCAATCAAACAGGCCTTAGTGAAAATAAAATATGAAGAAAAATAATAAATATACACTGAATATAGTAAACTTAAATGTTAAAGATAAATAGATTGTTAGGGTATTTAAAAATTTTTACTTTTTAAATTTATATATATGATTGGAGTATTTAAAAAATTTTACACACTGAATTTATAGATAGTAACTAAATAGCAGTATATGCTCTTTAAAGTAGAAAGTGTCTTGGAGAACTAACTCTTGTTTGAGCTCCATTTTTTGAAAATTCATTTTTAAAGTTTATTTTAAAATTACATATTCTCTCAATAAAATAATTTTATATGTAAACCTAAAAGTATCTCATGCTTTTTAATCACTTATACTCTAGAAAATCACATTGTTCTAAAAGACGCATATTGATGACGCTTAGGCATTACCAATGCGCAAATGCAATGCGAAAATGCCAACCCAAGTGACTTGATTCCTTATTTAGTAATCAACAACAATCATTGATCGCTAATGAGCGCCTAGGCATAGCTATTCTAGCATAATTATCTTTTTTTTTATATCTTTTTTTTTTTTTACAATTCTTCTTAATTAAAACTTAAATGTTGATTTCTTCACTTCGTCGGTTTTAAATTCAAAATAGTCGCTTGAAGTATTGAACAAAAGAAATCTTTCAAAAATTCCTGTTTATTTATTATTTACATTTGGAACTTATCTTTTTGTTAAAAACTTTGAAAAATGTATAAATTTTTTATAAATTTGTTTTAGATGTTTGGCATGTATTATTTTTAATTATTAAACGATTTTTCAATTGATTAAAAATTAAAATAATATTAAAATATGAAATGAATTTTTATGTTTTTTTAAGCCTATGCCTCGCCTAAGTTCGCCTAATCCATAGATTGACCTCCAGGCATTGCCATGCATTACGCTTTTTAGAACATTGAAAAACCATTGATACAAATTTTATTCTCACCAAATATATATATATATATGATAAATAAATAATTTTAAAAAATTAAAAAACCCTTTAATATAGATGTCAAACAAATCCTCCAGTTAGATCATTCTTTCGCCTATAAGATATAGATAAATTAAGGCCCCGTTTGATAGGAATTTTTTGCTCCAAAAAATTAATTTTTTGACCGTTATTTTACTATTCAAATCGTAATTTTTGACTTTTTCTCTCACATGTAAATTTCACTTTTTTTCTAACGATTAAAAAATCAATTCCCAATTATTGAATTTCATCGTACCTATAGAGCCTGCAGTTTCTCTGTATACAGATTTGTCTCTCTCTCTCTCTCTCTTAGGGTTTACGAAATCGGTCCGATTGAAATTCTCGGCGATGTCTTCGACAAGGATGATTGAGCTTAAGAGTTCAGACGGTGAGATTTTCGAGGTCGAGGAAGCGGTGGCGCTAGAATCAGAGACGATAAAGCATAAGCTTGAGATTTTCGAGGTCGAGGAAGCGGTGGCGCTAGAATCAGAGACGATAAAGCATATGCTTGAAGCCGACTGCGCTGATACTTTTTTTCCTCTTCCAAACGTTACATCTAAGATCTTGGCGAAGGTGATTGAATACTGCAAGCGCCATGTTGAGGCGGTGGCGGCAAAGCCCGCCGAGGGAGTGCTGGTTGCAGCTGACAAGATGACCGACGAGGAGCTGAAGGCGTTTGATGCTGATTTCGTGAAAGTTGATCAGGGCACCCTGTTTGATCTTATCTTGGTGGCAACTCTTTTCTATTCTTGTCTCTCTAGATTGTTTGGCTATCTTACCTCGATTTGGCTGTTTTTTCCGATTTGCCCACCCTTTTTTCTTGTTCATCACTATGTTTATTGTTTCACATGAGCCTTTTTAATTCTACCATGTTGCCGTTTTACTTTAATCATTCATGGGTCTGTTTTGTTTGCTTTTATTTCTTCGATAACTTGTTTATTGCCTGTTTTAATGGTTTCTTATTCTAGATGCATTTTTCACATGATTATTAATGCTCTATTTTTAATCGTTTATGTCGTCTGTTCTTTCAATTATTGGTATAAACCTGTCTGTTTCTTTTATAATTTTGCATTAATTTCACATAATTGCTGCACTATTTGCAATCAATTTTTACATGTTTCTTCTCATGGTGTTGTATATGGATACCAGATAGAATAGCTTTTATCATATGGATCTCTGTTCTGTTGTTAGTTTGTCTATATAAAGCAGTAGTTAAGGGTTATCCATTTCTTTCCCTTTTTTCTGGGTTGTAGATCAATACGGACGGCTTGTTTGCTTGAATAATGTTTGTAGTATTGGTGAAATTTTGGTATGAGGTGGGGCTTCTTTTAATTATTATATATTCTTATTTTTATTTGAAGGCTTATAATATAAAGCCTTTGGGTAGAGTAACTGGAATCAAACTATTTTTGTTCTGTTAAAATTTTTATTTTACTTTGGATCGGGTGGTTTGAAGATAACAGCAATCTTCCTGCATCAAAAGTCAGAACTGGAGATGCATAATGTAACTTTCTTTAGGAAGGGTTGAAAACATGTTCTTGTTTTGTTCTTGTAATCTTGCTCACAAATTTTCATCTGTTTGTTTTTACATAGAAGATAATCTATTCATTTCTCTGTTGGCATTCTTGTGTTTTTAATGCTTTTTCTGTATGATTCACAGTTCTTTTCTCTAGCTACTACTAACTAGTGACATCACGTTTTCAGGCAGCAAACTATCTGAACATAAAGAGTCTGCTCGACCTCACATGTCAGACTGTGGCCGACATGATAAAAGGAAAGACTCCGGAGGAAATCCGCAAGACTTTCAATATTAAGGATGACTTCACCCCGGAGGAGGAAGAGGAAATTCGCAGGGAAAATGCTTGGGCGTTTGAGTGATATGCCTCTGCAAATTAAGTTTCTGTACCTAATAGAGTATGCTATAATATGGTAGGTTTTATTAAGAGTCGTCCAGTAAATTCTTGGTATCATGTTATGAAGAGATCCAACTCTTTGTTGAAATTTGTTTCCCAGTGTTAAACCTTTATGCTTCTATGACACTGGTACTTGGTGTTCCTTTTAAATGCTATATCTTTTATATCTTCATTATTTTCCCTTGATTATCGTTTAACCTAATTATGGAGTTTGATTGTTGAGAATATGTGATTGCAAACTCTTTGAATGTGGCTGATGGGGTTGTTCGTTGCTTGGTTGAAAGTCAGGTTCTGTTTGTGTTGGCACATTTGGAGCTGGAATTGGATGTGCAGTTCAAAAATTCTCGAGGGCCTTAGATTTGCAGGCATTGAATATGTTGATCAGGTTTTTTTACAGACCTGCAAGGCTTATGCATTGGATAGCCACACTTGCAAGTCCAGATTCAAGGCATTGAATTGGGTAGCCGCACTGGCAAGTGTAGATGTGACTGTTAAAAGTCCTAGGAATTTGAAAAAGTGATTGAAATAGGTGATGACTAGTGTGTGCATGTTTTTGGCAGTTGGAAATGCTGTTCATATGAGAATAGTTTGGCTTTTTTCTTTGTTCGACATTTCAGTTCAACTCTGATTGAACTTTCTGGATTAGAGTTTGATCTTGGTTCACTCGCAGTTCGTTAATGCCTGGGCAGGATTTGGAAACAGCATTGAAAACTTTGTTATAATTTCTGTTTCAACCTTTTGGGGCCATGGGTGAGTTGAGAAACCTGAAAAGAAGGGGAAAAGCCATTGTTGCAACACATTTGGACTGTCAAAGGCAAGTTAAAGGCATGGTTAGAATGCTGGATCGGACATGTCCGTGCCATCGAAGAACTCGGAGCTAGCTTTGATGAGCCAACAAAATATAGTTTGCAACTGTCAAAGGCAAGTTAAAGGCATGTTTAGGATGCTGGATGGGACAATAATGTTGTCTTTCTTCAATTATATCCGTGCATCGAAGAACTCGGAGCTAGCTTTGATGAGCGAACAAAATATAGTTTGCAAAATCCGACCTAGTAAGACGTATGTCAATTATACAGCAAAACATCACACAAGCGGATCATAGAGGTTTCGAGGGTGTGGACTGTTGACCTCGAAAATTGGTCCTTCCATGTGGCCAACTGAGAGTTGCTCCACGTATTCCTCACTGCGCACAATCAGTGAACGGTCAGACGCACATGGTCGGGACTAGCGGGGATGGTGGCGGTCGTATACATTCCGACGGTCAAGTTTGGTTTAGGTGGTCGGAACAGTACCCAGGGGTTGTGCCAAATAATGATAAGGGGGAGGAGAAATATATAAGCTTGCTATGGAGTGCTATGTAGTAAGTTTCATTACCTTTGCCAAACCTTGGGTATTTATAGGTGGGATGAGTCGTTGGATGTGGGACACGTGTATACATCTGACGGTATGAGACGTCCGCTCATAGGCGTCAATCAGCAACGTCTGTCGAGTGGGCGGACAGCTTGTTTCTCCTGATTTGAATTGACATAAAGTTGATAAGTCACATCAACTAGCCTCATGGAGACGTCAAATCAATCTAAACCTTAGGTGCAGGAAGGATCTTGGCACAAATCTCTTTCTGAAATTGGCAGTGGATCATCGGTCAGGTCAGTAGTAGGGATCGCCTGTACTTCGCAGCGTGCTACTAGGTTGCAGACATTGCTGATATCACTTCAGAAACACTTCGAATGGGTCTTTATCAGGTCAGAATATATGATGGTGCGCGTTCCGAGGCGGATCAGATAGGGGCGTAACAGTGGTCCCCCAAGTCCAGGTATGAATATTTATATCATGGGTGGACTTCCTTTCCTTTCCTGACCGGATGTATATGTCTAGGTACTGGGGACCACGACTCGTGGGAGTTTGGGGGTTGATCTTTTGCAGTAATCGAGGTCATGATCCTGTGCAGATGTGCCAAAGTTTCGTTACTGTGTAAGGGAAAAAATAACCGATGTGAGGTCGAAGCGCTGCAAGACGGGACGATTAGTAGGAAAAGAGGTTAACATGACAATCGAGGCAATGTCCGAGAGGGGGCTCGCGCTAGGTGCGTGTAGGCTATGCGAAGGTGAGCGAGGAACTCATCTGCCACCGTTGCGCTGACCCACAGGGCCGACGCGTTGGGAGATGTCTAAAACTTTGTAAAGCATGGGAGAGAACGCATCGTTCGAGGCGATGACCCACAGGGGACTTCGCGTCAGGTGCGTCCAAACTTTGTAAAGTTGAGTAAGGAGCTCATCTGTCACCGATGCGCTGACCCACAGGGCTGACGCGTTGGGAGATGGCTAAAAGTTTGTAAAGCATGGGAGGTAACGTAGCATCCGAGGTGATAACCCACAGGGGATTTCGCGTCAGGTGCGTCCAAACTTTGTAAAGTTGAGTAAGGAGCTCATCTGCCACTGGTGCGCTGATCCACAGGGTCGACGCGTTGGGAGATGGCTAAAACTTTGTAGAGCATGGGAGGTAACATAGCGGCCGAGGCGATAACCCACAGGGGACTTCGCGTCAGATGCGTCCAAGCTTTGTAAAGTTGAATAAGGAGCTCATCTGCCACCGGTGCGCTGATCCACAGGGTCGAAGCGTTGGGAGATGGCTAAAATTTTGTAAAGCATGGGAGATAACGCAGCGTCCAAGGCGATAACCCACAGGGGACTTCGCGTCAGGTGCGTTCAAGCTTTGTAAAGTTGAGTGAGGAGCTTATCTGCCACCGGTGCGTTGACCCATAGGCCGATGCGTTGGGAGATGGCTAAAACTTTGTAAAGCATGGGAGGGAACACAGCGTCCGAGGCGATGACCCACAGGGACTTCGCGTCAGGTGCGTCCAAACTTTGTAAAGTTGAGTGAGGAGCTCGATTCGAGGTGATTCAAACGTCAAATGATTTGACAATTGTTGCGTGTTTCTAAGGTGACAGTTGGGTGCCATGCCCATTCTCCTAAAAGGCTGGTGCGGCTACTTATTATTATTGACGGCTGGTTGTAACCGAGGTGACGTGTTTTAAGCAAGCGTGAATGTCACAGCGACATCTTAGGCGTAGATCAAATCTGGCGTTTCATTTCAACGGCCTAGATTGAAGATGCGATGAACGACTTAGATTGATCGCATTTGAATTCGATGGTGGAGATCGGATTTGTCCTTCTATAAAAGGAGGACTCTGAGGTTTTCTCAGGCTTTCTACCCTTGCGAAACAAACAATATATTTTGCTCTCAAGTCACTGGCGATTTTCGACGTTTTCTAAGCAATTCTGACGAGAAAATTGAACTTTTGGCGACCTTACACCATTTCCGGCTAGGAAAACCTTCAAACTCGTAAGTTTCAGTACCTTTTAGGGCTTTTAAATCTTGAAAAAAGGGCCTCGGACGGGAGGTCTGGTTCGGGGAGGGGGTTAGAACTAGTGAGGATGGACGAGCCCATTGTGGCGACCTCCTCAGAAATAGCCGAGGCAATAATAGGGGGAAAATATATGGAAGCGACCGGATAGCCCAGCAGATACTTCTGTGCATTGCGGGGCATTGGACTACCCATCCAAATTAAGAGAGGCCGACCTGGAGAGACTTAGGACAGAGTATAGGATCCCTGATAGCATAGATTTGATCATTCCCGGGCCAGAAGAGAGAGCCTGCTACCCTAAGTCGGGTTGTGTGGCCATTAGCGAGGCGATCCTTAGGGCCGGACTTAGGCTGCCAGTTCACCCATTCTTTAGGATGGTTCTTAGATCCTATGGGCTATCCCCGACGCAACTCAATCCGAACTCCTGAAGCCAAATGGTGGGCTCCTGGATGTTGTGGAAAGAGGCGTCATTAGGGGTGGAGATGCCCCTTTCCGTCTTTCAGACCCTTTATATACCTAAGGTAACTACCGGGAGGGATAAGACTCGGGGATGGTATTACCTTACTTCATGGGGTTTCCACACTCCATTCTTACTCGATCTGTCGAGCTCCATCAAAGAATGGAAGAGCTCGTGGTGTTGGGCCGCAGGGCGATGAGACACGATGGAGGGGATCCCCTGGCGCCTCTTACGGTCCCGACGAATTACTCAACACTTAGTGAGTATAGTAGTTGTTTTTCCTTATATTTCTCTTCGGTTCGAATTGTGCCTAACATTTACATTTCCTTTGTAGGTGCTCTTCCTCGGTGCTAGCTGTCATCCGAGGACTTTGAAACCATATGTATCATTTATCAGCTGACTCAAAAGAAGAGGTCTTACCATAGGCTGATCCGAAAGTACATCCACTTCATTACTCACGATCTGATGGCATCCCAAGGTAATTGGACCGAAGTCTTTACCCTTTATTCTGAACTCTCAACACTTGTACTAATTCATCATTCGCTCTTTGCAGACAACTTTAATAAGAAGATGTCGGTGCGCCCCGATTTTAAGACCATCCAGAAGATGATGGCAGAGGCACGGGCGTTGATGGCCTCCTTCTCCTACAAAAAGCAAATGGAGGATTTGGTGGAAGCCAGTAAGAGGCTTCAGCTTCCGACGGAGGAGGAGGTACCGGAGGACCTGGAGGCTGACCTTCAGAGGAAGGGCAAGAAGAGTGCCGCCCCTCCAAAACGCTCAACTGTGGCGAGGCCACCCCTTGCTCTGAGGCAAACCACAATTCCCACCGGGGTGGCTATTCCGGAGAAGAGGCCCGCCCCACTTGAGCCTGCCACTACCCTGGCCACAATACCCCTCGCTGCCGTGCCAATTGATCAAGTGCCAGGGCAGCAGAAGAGGAAGAGGCCCTGTCCCTCTAAGGAGGTCGACTTTCTGGGCACAAACCTGGAGGAGCCCGTAAGGGAAGTGTTGGAGGCTCTTCCTCCAGAAACAGCTGCGGTGGCGGTCGTCCGTAGCAAATACTGGACTGAGGAGTGGAGGGACCACATCGCCTCCTGCACAGCTGAGGATTTGGTGGCTACAAATAGCGCCTGCGTGGCTCGGGCCCTGAGTACAAGCATCCAACTTGAGGGCTTGGTGAAGGATCTGAACTCCAAGTGGGAGGACCTCGCCAAGCACCTCGAGGAGGCGATGCACTACGGGGATACCGTGCGAACGGCCCAGGCCAAGGCCACGCAGGCGGAGGAGGGGAAGAAGGAAGCTGAGGCTCAGCTAACTGCCGCCAAAGCAGAAGTGGAGCGACTGAAGAAG